AAGCCAATAAATTTATTATCACAGCTTGTTTACTGGTGAATATTGTGTATTAATACTACATATAGAATTTTGTATTGGATATTTTATGTACAGTATTGAAATTGTACTAATGCTTATAGCTATGCTTATAAGCATTAGTGCTTATACTTATGCTAAATAACTTATTTAGTATGTTTTATAACGATTCATTGATCACTTCTTGGTTAATAAAAAACGACAGCAAAATTCAGAATATTTATTTATTTTTCATTTTTTTGATAGAACTGTATTTTTTTATCATTAATCCAAATTAACTTTGACTGACAGTCCTACCGGCAGAGGAAGAACTTTCCCTCTGGGATGCTGAACGTCTCCTCCTTATTTNCCACAGGGTGAAAAGAGTTAAAAAAAAAAAAGTAACCACAAAAGCAGATATTAACAATATTATAAAAAAAAGCAATGTCAAAAATAGCATCGAATTTATTTTGATTTTGTGCGAGTATAATTTTTTTTATTGTCAACAATACAGTATTTTTTGTAATTATATATATTTAAATTCAATATTCATATTTTGAACTTTTTAAAAGGGGATATTAATTGCCCTTGTGGCCTGCTGAATACCTTAATTTCTAATTTGGCCCATTAAGAAAAATGGTTGGACAGGCCTGGTTTAGACACTCGATCGAGATAGAGAATATGAGTATTGATATATCAGTGTTTTTCTCATGGCACACTTCCACATATAATTAAATTTCCGTGGCAAAAATTTCTACGTAATAAATCACGTGATTTAAAGTTGTGTTTGTAAACATTCTATCCTCACATTACTTGCAACTTAACCTAATTCTTTTTGTGTATATTTCTGCGAATTAAATAAAACAGTATTGTTCCTTAAAATAGCAGCAGGTTACAATAATATTTATGTAAATGAAAATTATTAATTTAAATAAGAAAAGCAATTAACATTAAATTTTAATTTGCATTTAAAAGTGGCCTTATGATTGCCTTTAAAAACCTGCCTAACTTCCAGCTATTTCTAAGTCAAAGTAATTTGAAATAAATATGGACAATTATAAATAGGATCCTCTCGTGGCAAACTCAGGGGCGGATCTAGTTTTTCGGGGCCTAGGGCTTATTGAAGTCCAATGGGGTCCCATTTTTTGTAATACCAAATAATACTATAAATTATCATTATTATTAATTTATTTTTTACTGTATGATAAGTGCTCATTGTTAATGAAAAAGTATTAAAAATTTATGATAATTCAATTTTTGCGGGGCCTTGACACTTAGGACTTAAGCTCTATTAGTCCCTATGTAGATCCGCCCCTGGGCAAACCGGTTGAAAATCACTGTGAGAGAGTTTATAGACTTGGTAAGCGATCTCCAGGGTGGTGGAGACATATTTTGTAGCTTCTTTGACTATAAATATGTTTTTGATAAAAGGAAGAGCTAATAGACTTAAAGGTACGGGTATTTATATAAATGATGACAACCCGGATCAAATTACAGTGGCACTAAGGGCATTAAGATTGTTTGCTAAAGAGAAAAAAGAAGCTGGGACTAAATCAATTGTTTAATTAATTAATTAATTTAAAAAATACGGTAGTGATAATGGTGAAACGTGTCGTTATAACTATCAAGATAAATTAATGGAAAATGTAAGTACATTTTGACGTATTTCTGGTGTGAATTTACTGGTATTCTGTTATTCAGAATACCAGTAAACCAAAGGCATTTTTAGTCTTATATATCAAGCAATTTGAGTTGGTTTTTCTCTCGGAGACTTCGTGGAATGGTGATTTTAGGTAAGTATCGGCCGAAATTTCAGGATTATTTAATTTATCTATATGCCTGGATTTCTCGAAGAGGATTGATGGGTGGATAGCTTTTTTTTCTGTAAAAAAATGTAATTAATATTAAATATTAGTAATCTTTCAAAACTGTATCAATAATTAAGAAAAATTTAACGAGCAGGTTCTGACTTTTGTATTTATTTACTGGCATAAAAATTATTGGATGGAAATTTTGTCCAGATTGAAACTTGCTATAGAGGATAAGGAAGTTGTTATTTGCGGAGACTAATTCTAGAATTGGCCTGTGCCTAATTTACATAATCTCGCGAGGGCCAATCCCTCACGATCTAGGCATTGTCTAGAGGTGCCCAAATAATATCTAAATACTACCCAAAAGCGACCGAAAAGTCACAGGTCGCAGCCGGAATACCAAAGGAAAAGACCACTACGAGCAGCCGAATTTACATAATCTCGTGGCGGCCCTCTCCACAACTGGCCAAAATACCCATAAAACAACAAATTCCTCGCGGGGGCAAAAGGTCAAACCTACGAAATACAGCAAAAACCGACGTTCCCAAACTCTTAATTTGCATAACGCCACATTCAAACTTCTCATTTGCATAATCACGCGTACTTATTACTTATGAATATCAATGGCTAAATCTATTTTGAAGGATACTTCATTTCAATTTGAAAGATATTTTTTACCGCAATCATTTAAAATTCTGCGAACGAAAGAATTTGATTATTTTAAACGGTAGTTTTGGGGACGAGTTTGGTGAATTTATTTTTGTTAGTTCTTGGGGTTCATCAGTAGTACACTTTAATTTGTTGAACAATATCTGACTTTCTTACAGATAATAGAACGGAATCGGATAATTTTCTGATCTGTTTTCATATAGTAGGCAATCATAGTAATGATTGTGTTATGCGCTGTACTCACTCTATGGGCAGGCATAATTATTTTGGAATAAGTACGAAATATAGATCAGCTTTTTTACAAAAATGGCAGTAGGCCTATATAGATGATCAAATTAATCTTGATGTTTTAAATAGACATTATTTTGGCGGGTAAGTAACTTGGCTTTGACAGTAAGTTAACTGTCAATTTTCTTGTTTTGATTGTGTCATTTTGCAATAGGGCATTAAACAAACTGAGGAAGATGACCACGTGTAATGAACCAGTGGATAAAAATTATCTTAAGTTCGATCGAATTTTATAAATTTATTCCTGATGTATTCGATCATAGTTTCTTGACTTGGTCCTTTCCAGCTAATTGGCGCATTAGTAAAATATTTCCTATTTTTAAAAAAGGATCACGTAATCGCTCCCAAAATTATCGTGGTATTTCTTTCTTGTCAGTTTTATCGAAGTTATTTGGGAGAATCTTGGTTAATAGATTGACAGTTTGGGCTTAGAATTTTGGAATATTTTCGGACTTTCAGATTGGTTTTCGTAAAGGTTTTTCGGCAGTGTATATTCTTTCCACGATTATTCAAAAAGAATTAAGAAACGTGGCAAAGTTTATGCCTTCTTTGTGGATCTCCACCAGTGCCGGCCCGAGGCAAGTTTTAGGATGGAGCGAGATCCTATTATGGCGCTCCCCTGGTTGCCCCTAATTTATACTCTTTAATTTTCTTTACCACTGAGGCGCCCCGTAGGACTTAGCGCCTGGAGCGGCTGCTCCGTTCGCCCTATCGGGACATTCCAATTTTCAACGCTGACCTCAACATTCGTTCCTTTTTTCAACGTTGAGGTAGCCCTATTGTCAGCGCTGACTCAACACACACAGCACTCAACAGACATGTTGACTGCTACTTTCCAATGAATTGTGGGTAATTGGTAAGACATTTGAATGGAATCCATCTTGTTGAGAATGGAATTATGGGAACTAATCACTTCGTACTGGAGTTGGAACGTCGTTGATGACGTCAAATTGTTGACTTCAACACTCAACACTCGCGTTGAAAATTGGAATGTCCCGTATGGTAGGGCCGGCTCTGATCTCCACTCTGCTTTTGATTTCCTGGATAGAAACCTTTTGTGGATGTACAGTAATCGAAAATTGTGGTTTATAGGAAAGGAGGTATGGGTTCTGTTAAAGAAAAGTGGTCTTAGAGAGGACGTAACATCGAGCTGGACCCTTAGTCTCGAGTTTTTCGTGTTATACTCAAACTGACGTCATCGTACTCACTCGTGTTACTATGACTCACATAATTGGTAGTCTCGAGTTAGACCCTACGAGCGAACTCGAAAGGAGAGCGGAAATACGTCACACTCACTTGGTTGTGTGTGTCGTTAAGCATGATGGGATTATTTACAATGCATCTGGGTTTGCGACCATAATGATTCGACCAATCAACTTAACTGTAACAAGTTGTAAACAAATCAACGTGAATTAGTTTACACGTGCTACAGTTAAAAGTTGTCTTATAGCAATATAATGCGCAGAAACAAAATTACTATTTTGTTTTTGCGTACTATATTTGTTTTATTTTAAAAAATAAGCGACGAACAAAAAGAAATATTAGTAACATATATAGAAAATAATAATAAAATGAACAGTGGAAAATTCGACAACAAATTTACAAGAAAAAGACATTTCGCTTTTTGGAATTACAGTAGAGCCTCGATTATCCGACCGCGTTCTAGTCGGAAAATTTCAAATGTCGGCTAGTGATGTGGCGCTACAATATTTGGCTACTTTAATATTATTTTTACGTGTTTTAGTTGGCAACACTCATTCGACCATGAAAGGGAGCCAGTATTTAAACGAGGCTTAATTTTCTAATTTTTAACGATACAATAGCGACGATTATTATTTAAAAAAAATTTTGTTAGGCTTAACATCGATGAAAATTCAACGCGAAGTAGGTTAATAGCGATATACTAATATACTAATT